GGAGACCGACGGGTTTAGCACCACGGGATGACCGCGTCTTCGTACTTCTCCAGAATAAATGCCTTAACGATCTGGCAGGGGTATGATCCGACCAGCGTCTTCACCCAGGGCTTGTCCGTGGCCCCGGCGCAATCGGCGATAATGGCGTCGGAAGGGGTCTTTTGCCATATGATGCCTTCTGGCGTCCTTCTTCGGCTTCAGGCCGGCAGCCCTTGCATAGAATTTTTTGGGGGGGGGGGGGGGGGCTCGGCACGGCCCGGGACGCGCGGGGGGCGCGTCCTCACCCGCGGCGCTGCTCCCTCTCCCTGCCCGACGCACCTTAATGAATGAATCAATCCCCTTAGGCTCTACCGCTCTCCTCAGCCTCTTCACACCTTAGGCTCATCGCACCTTAGGCTCTACCGCTCTCTCTCAGCCTCTTCACACCTTAGGCTCATCGCACCTTAGGCTCTACCGCTCTCCTCAGCCTCTTCACACCTTAGGCTCATCGCACCTTAGGCTCTACCGCTCTCCTCAGCCTCTTCACACCTTAGGCTCATCGCACCTTAGGCTCTACCGCTCTCCTCAGCCTCTTCACACCTTAGGCTCATCGCACCTTAGGCTCTACCGCTCTCCTCAGCCTCTTCACACCTTAGGCTCATCGCACCTTAGGCTCTACCGCTCTCCTCAGCCTCTTCACACCTTAGGCTCATCGCACCTTAGGCTCTACCGCTCTCCTCAGTCTCTGTCGGCGGCACTGGGGCTGGGCGGAGGCGGAGGCGGAGGCGGAGGCGGCGGAGGAGGCGGCGGCGGCGCGGGGGGAGGAGGAGGAGGAGGAGGGTTAGGAGGAGGCGGAGGGTTAGGAGGGTTAGGAGGAGGAGGAGGAGGAGGCGGAGGAGGAGGAGGAGGAGGCGGAGGAGGAGGAGGAGGTGGCGGCGGTGGTGGCGGTGGTGGCGGTGGCGGCGGCGGTGAAGGCTCCCTCGGCGACTCGATGTGGCGAGGCCTGGCGGCGCTGTCGAGTGCCGCAAGCGGCGCGCGGGGGAGAAGGGGAGGGGGGAGACAAAGCGGGAAAAAAGGCGGGGGGAAGATAGATGGCGTGGTAACTCATCTTGGGGCCAACCCGAG